TTGCCATGCCTGGTTTCAGGCTTGATCCCTGGTGGGGGGTTTGCAGGAGGCAGTTGATCGTCAATATTTCACTCTCATTCTCATTTATAACCACCAACTTAATACCACAGGCATAAACTATTGTTGTGATCTCCAAAATGATCTTCCTATCTTTCCTATATATACCCTCTTTTTTAACAATTGTGAATATATATGAAGATTATATATGAAATTTTTTTTCATAACATTCTTCTTATAAAAGTGCTCAAAGCCTCCCTCAATGGATCTTATATGACCAGTATGCATTGTTCATTAGACTCTGAAGACTTTCACAATATTGTTCCACCCGCCCTCCCCACCCCCAAATGGTTCCTTCTGTTTGGTTTTATTCAAGTCCCATAATTGAGAATGGGAAAGCCCTATCTCCCCTCTACCAAAAGATGCTGTAGAGTAGTTCTCTTAATTAATGAGACTTCTTCAGCATTCAGCCAATTCCATCTCCAAATACCAATAAACTTAACTGTAGCTTATCTTTTCACCTCTAGGTTTTGTCTCTCTACCACCAGCTTTCCTTAAAACAAAGATTCTGAAACAATAGCTTTCCATCCACTCAAAGACTTCTCACACCAGATTAGTACTACTGGTTGAAACTGATTACTGAAATGAATTGGAAAAACAATTAAAATTGGAGAAAACTAAAATCTTCTTTAATACATTGAAGATTTCCAATCTGACAAGCAAAAGTTTCCCCTTCAATGCCAAGAGTCACACAACTTTGTAGAGGTGCAATGGAACTAGGCACACTCAAGATCAGTACTGTGATATTCTACATATAAAAGGTCTACAGCGCCCTGGCCGGCTTGGCTCAGTGGATAGAGCGTCAGCCTGTGGACTGAAAGGTCCCAGGTTCGATTCCGGTCAAGGGCATGTACCTTAGTTGCGGGCACATACCCAGTGGGGAGTGTGCAGGAGGCAGCTGATCGATGTTTCTCTCTCGTCGATGTTTCTAACTCTCTATCCCTCTCCCTTCCTCTCTGTAAAAAATCAATAAAATATTAAAAAAAGCCGGAGCCGGTTTGGCTCAGTGGATGGAGCGTCGGCCTGCGGACTGAGAGGTCCCGGGTTCGATTCCGGTCAAGGGCATGTACCTGGGTTGCGGGCACATTCCCAGTGGGAGATGTGCAGGAGGCAGCTGATCGATGTTTCTCTCCCATCGATGTTTCTGGCTCTCTATCTCTCTCCCTTTCTCTCTGTAAAAAATCAATAAAATATATTTAAAAAATATATATATATTAAAAAAAAAAAAAAAAAGGTCTACAGCAACTTATTATATTACTTTGAATTTAAAAAACCCTTTCTTGCCGAAACCGGTTTGGCTCAGTGGGATAGAGCGTCGGCCTGCGGACTGAAAGGTCCCAGGTTCGATTCCGGTCAAGGGCATGTACCTGGGTTGCGGGCACATCCCCAGTAGGAGGTGTGCAGGAGGCAGCTGATCGATGTTTCTCTCTCATCGATGTTTCTAACTCTCTATCCCTCTCCCTTCCTCTCTGTAAAAATCAATAAAATATATTTAAAAAAAAAAAAAAAAAAAAACCCTTTCTTGCCCTAGCTGGTTTGGCTCAGTGGCTGGAGCGTCAGCCTGCGGACTGAGGGGTCCCAGATTTGATTCCAGTCAAGGGCACATGCCCAGGCTGTGGGCTTGATCCGGGGGGCGTATAGGAAGCAGCCAATCAATGATTCTCTCTCATCACTGATGCTTCTATCTCTCTCTCCCTCTCCCTTTCCCTGTGAAATCAATAAAAATATATTAAAAAACAAAACAAAAAACCCTTTCTTAAGAGCTCAAAATATGTTCTTAATCTGAAGCATAAGGAAAGGTAGAATGAACAAGAGGTTTGCTCAAAGAAGTCAAAAAGCCAACTATTCCCTGTAATCTTGGCACTTTTTAAACCAAATTTTGACTGTAAGCTTTTTGAAGGCAGAACATACCTATCTAGAGGAAAAAAACAACTGCTCTGCATTACCCTAACACAATAATTAAAATATAGCAGGTATTTGTTTTAAGGATTGAAAGGCAAAAACTCAAGCTGGCAGTGCTTGAGGTATAGCAATAGGTCAAAACAGTAAATAATTGAGAATGGGAAAGCCCTCTCTCCCCCTCTGCCAAAAGATGCTATAGAACAGTTCTTTTAATTAATGACTCCCTCCACTGTCTTACCGATAGCATCAATTCCTATAATTCTAAGACTTGCCATGTTTACACAAATCTAACAGCACCAAAATACCACAAGGAACTAGGATCAGGGAATTTATAATAGAGTTCAGAAGCACTCCAATATGCTCCTTTGAGAATTAAAAAAAAAGCAGCTTTGGTACAGAGAGTGAAAGGAATAGACTTGGAGTCAAGTGCTAGGTTTGAAATTCTGGTTCTATTCTACACATACTAGCTGTATCACATTGGGAAAATCATATAATTTCCTGAGAAGAGCAACTACTTTATTTGCATGGGTAAAATACGAATGCATGTGAAAGTATCCTAGGATAGTAGATATTAGTTGTTCAATAAATGTTAGTTAAATAAAAGTTAAATAAACAACCCTTCAATTTTATCCTATTAATACCCACCACTTGGCCTTTTACCAAATACATTAAAATATATATATATATATATATATATATATATATATATATATATATATGATAAAAAAAATCAATTGGCTGCCTCCTGCATGCCCCCTACTAGGGATCCAGCCCACAACCCAGGCATGTGCCCTTGGCTGAAACTGAACCCGGGACCCTTTAGTCCACAGGCTGAGGCTCTAGCCCAGGGGTGGGCAAACTTTTTGACTCAAGAGCCACAATGGGTTCTTAAACTGGACCGGAGGGCCGGAACAAAAGCATGGATGGAGTGTTTGTGTGAACTAATATAAATTCAAAGTAAACATCATTACATAAAATGGTACGGTCTTTTTTTCTTTTTTTTCTTTTTTATTCATTTCAAACGGGCCGATCCGGCCCGAGGGCCATAGTTTGCCCATGGCTGCTATAGCCACTGAACCAAATCAGCTAGGGCCCAAGTATATTTTTAAAAGTTGAGAACTGGCCGAAATCGGTTTGGCTCAGTGGATAGAGTGTCGGCCTGCGGACTGAAAGGTCCCAGGTTCGATTCCGGTCAAGGGCATGTACCTGGGTTGCGGGCACATCCCCAGTAGGAGATGTGCAGGAGGCAGCTGATCGATGTTTCTCTCTCATCGATGTTTCTAACTCTCTCTCTCTCTCCCTTCCTCTCTGTAAAAAATCAATAAAATATATTTAAAAAAAAAAAAAAAGTTGAGAACTGTACTGTTTGAGCAATCATTCAACATATCCAACTTTTTAAAGAGTTGCTAATAAATTTCTTTCCCTTTGTATCTGTGACACTGAGGTTTTATTTTATTGTCAATTAAGAAGTCAGAAAATAATAGACTATATGGACAATAAGTAGATTTTGTTTAAAGAACGTCATGCCCTAGCCCAGCCGTGGGCAAACTACGGCCCGCGGGCCGGATCGGCCCGTTTGAAATGAACAAAACTAAAAAAAAGACCGTACCCTTTTATGTAATGATGTTTACTTTGAATTTATATTAGTTCACACAAACACTCCATCCATGCTTTTGTTTCGGCCCTCCGGTCCAGTTTAAGAACCCATTGTGGCCCTCGAGTCAAAAAGTTTGCCCACCCCTGCCCTAGCCAGTGTGACTCAATTGGTTACAGCAGTGGTCGGCAAACTCATTAGTCAACAGAGCCAAATATCAACAGTACAACGATTGAAATTTCTTTTGAGAGCCAAATTTTTTAAACTTAAACTATATAGGTAGATACATTGTTATTAACTTAATTAGGGTACCCCTAAGCTGGCCTTTGCTAAAAACGTCCTCAATCTGATTGAGGTACGTTCGCTGAGGTCGACCCTTCCAACGCTCCCATCCACACTCGTCTTGTATACTTGTTTCTGCACACGGGCCACAAATTTTCAAACGCACTGTACGTGCGCGCCCGCACGTGGTATTTTGTGGAAGAGCCACACTCAAAGGGCCAAAGAGCCGCCTGTGGCTCAGAGCCGGGGTTTGCCAACCACTGGGTTAGAGCATAGTCTCATATACCGAAAGGTGGCAGATTCCATTTCCAGTCAGGGCACAGGTTGGGAGTTTGAGCCCTGATTGAAGACACGTGGGAGGCAACCAATCAATGTTTCACTTTTACATCACATTAATGTTTTTCTCTGTCTGTCTCTCTCTCAAATTAATAAAAGCATGTCCTTGGGCAGGGGTCCTCAAACTTTTTAAACAGGGGGCCAGTTCACTGTCCCTCAGACCGTTGGAGGGCCGGACTATGGCTTAAAAAAAAACTATGAACAAATTCCTATGCACACTGCACATATCTTATTTTGAAGTAAAAAAAACAAAACGGGAACAAATACAATATTTGTATTTGCATGTGGTCCGCAGGCCGTAGTTTGAGGACCCCTGTCCTTGGGTGAGGATTAAAAAAATGATTAAAGAACGTCGTATTTTCTTGCTTTTATAACCACAAACACCAAATTAATCATTTACCTTCATCATCATCATCTCTTTCTTTCTCTTCCAATGCTTGTCTTTCCAATTGTCTTGCTACCTCATCCACTGAGGCTCCTGATTCTTTATCAGGTTCCTGTTGCCCTGCTAATCAAATATAATAGCATAAATCAAATCTAATAAAGATACTTTAACACTAGAATATGTTCTACAGATAGTGAAGAACACACAAGTCCTTTCCTGATAGGTGTTTAGGAAACAAAAACAAACATTATTGTGAACATTAACAGAATTTATTTAATGACAAAGAAAAGTCTCCCAAATCTAAGTAGTATTGTCCATTCAACAAAATACATTCTCTGTGATAGCAGCTAAAGGTTATGCAAAAGTGTGAGTTGGTCCCTATATTTAAGTAGTTTTAACTTTTTAAAGTATTTAACAATTAAACTACAACAAATACTTTACTAACCAAACAGGTACTTAAGATAGGCAATAAATGCTGAAGACCTTAGTGAAGAAGAGGATTTCTGTGGGACACTGGGGGCCTTCAGGGATTCCTGAAGAAAAAAAGTTGTCAAGCTGGGCTCTAGGTAAAATCAAAATAAATAGAAAAAGACATTCCATTACTAAAACAAAAAATTCTTGAACAGCTAAGCATAAGACCAGGCCCCTGCTCTGGCAGTGATTATAATCTAGCTAGAGGAGGAATATGCGTGTGCAGAAAGACAGTAATATGAGGTAGTACATAATAACGTGACATTTTGGCCTTTGTAGAACATTCCTATTGAGAATGTCCTGCTAAACATGTATTAGGGTCAGTCTGCTGAACACACCTTAAAGACCAAACTGAAGAGCTTGGACTTCATCTGAAAGCCAGGAAGAGCCACTAACTAGCCTGTGTCCTGGGATCAACTTGTGTTCTGGGAGTGTCTCAGCACCTGCAACTCTCCCTCTTCAACTCCCATCTAATCAACATTTCAGACAGGTTAACCCTCTCCAGCCTCTCTCAACTCCACGCTCATCACTTCTGGCCTCTCCATTTTTCTTTCATTCTTTCTATGGCTTTCACAGGTAGAGATATTTTTTTTCCTAAAAACGAAACAGGTGCAAATAATTTTTCCTAAAATGAAAGACCTAGTGCAACAAAAACACACTGACTTCTCAAAATAAAATAACTCTTAATATAACCCAAGTGTTAAGTTTTTAGCTGTTTTCCTGCCTTACCAGTGGATTTGGAGAAGTTCGGCTCTGAGCCACAGAATGCATCCTCTATCTAGACCGCCTGCAATGCCATTATAATTCAGGCCCAAAACCCTAACGCTTGATGATGCCGTGGGATTAGACGAGTGGAAATTCGCGCGCGCGCGCGCACACACACCCGCCCTCCCGCCCCACATTCTGCAATTACAACTCAGTGACATGAGCGCGTGGGCATACACACACCCCCAAAAGTGAAGCCCGCACCAAAAATCCCTCTGTAAACTGGGGTGGCGGGGTGAGGCGCGGTCCAGGCGCTCGGACTTGTCCACTTCACCCGCACCGTCTGCGAAAGTGAGTACCAGGATGCTCCAGCAAAGCGGCGGCGGGCAGCGCGGGTCAGAAGCAGGTTTTTCAGGAAGCCAAACCGCGAGGAAGATGGTAGGTAGGGCTGGGCGCGGTGCACGGCTTCACGGCCGCTGCACAGTCTGCGTGGCAGTCGAGTTCTGGCAACTCAGGGGCTCCCGGCCTACCGACCCCAGAGCGAGCTCCGCAAGGGAAGCTGAGCGACCCGACCCCGCTCTCCCTCCCCACGCTTCCACCAGCTCTCCAGTCCCACGGGAGGAGAAGCCGCCTCCCCGCGGGGCTGAGACTCTGTAGCCCGGCCTCGCCACGCGCTCAGTCCCGGGAATCAGTCCACTCCAGGGTTCCGAGTCCCCGGTCCCTGACACCCACGCCGGGCCTGAGCCGAGTCGTTCGGCCATCCCTGGGAAAAACATAAAACTCGCTTTACCTGTAGCAGCCCCTTTACTCTTTTTCTTCTTTCGTCTTTTTTTCTTGGCTGCCTCCTCCGCCGTAGAGGCAGCTCCCTCTTCCCTGTCGTCCGGATCCAGGTCGCCATTCAGGAGGCTCCCGGAGGACGCTGCCTCCTCCACGGCCGCCATGTTGCCCGAGAGAGCGCGAGGGAGTGAGAGCGAGCGGCGAGAGCCCGCTCCTTCTTCACCCACCTCCACCACCGACGCCGGAAGCCGCTCTGTACGGTGGGGCGCAGGGAATGCTGGGACGGTGGAGGACTGGAAGGCCTGGGGCGCTTGCGGAAGCGGGGCGGGCTCACCTCCGGCGGGGCGCGGCGCGGCGGCGGCGGTGTCTGAAACGTGGCGGAGGCGGGCCTGGCAGCGGTTGGCTGGTGCGAGGCCCGACACCCGCCTCCTCCCGCGCCTCAGGCATTCATTCCCGGGGCATATCTGCCGGCTTGGGGTCCTGTTGGATGCTTGTGCCGGTGGGCAGGTGCCGTCTGCCAGAGAAAAGCGAGTCTCTATTGGAGCCGAAAAGTTTGATATTCGCGGTTTTATAAAGCGCCCTGAAAGCGAGAAGAGGGGCTGGGAGATGTGCTCACTTGTACACACTCCTTATGACTCAAAAGGGCTGCGCTATTACTCACAATTACGGCTCGCGGCGAGGCCGTCCAGGCACTAAGGAGACGAACCTGCAAAGGGAGAAAGAGATGAGGAGGCGCTTACTATAGAGAAGCCGAGGGAGGACCGCGTCTCTACAAGGGAGTGGTCAACTGCGTTGAATGCTACGAAAAGGTCAAGTAAAAGGACAGAAAAATGTCAGAGGGAAGCCGTTGGGGGCCTTAGCAAGAGCTGTTTAGGTGGACAGATGGAAGCCAGACTAAAGAGAGGTGAGGCACATGGGGAAATAGAGAATTTCCTGGTCCTTCGAGTTTCAGCTTAAACGCCACTCCCTCGGGGAGCCCTTCCTCAGCGACCTAATTCAGGCCCTGCCCCCGGAGCCTCTCACTGAGTTCCCAACCCTTTTCTCCGTGGCAGCGTGTAATTAGTTCATTTGTGTGATTGTTTTATGTCTGTCTCCCCAGCTCCACGAAGACAGGAATCCTGCGTGTTTTATACTCACCGCCAATACCTGCCTCTAAATTAGAGGGTCGTAGGAGCTGAGTAGTTCCCCATTGTATAAATGGGTACTTGTGAAGTGCCAAGTACTCTGCCTTCATTATCTCATTTAATCCACGTCTGAGTTGAGGAAATTAGAGAGTTTTGGTAATTTGTACCAGGTCATACAGCAAGTTAATACAATTAGAATCCAAACCCAGGTCATCAGGCACCAAAAGTTTAAGAATTCTATATGCTGCCTTCCCAATTGAAATTTCAAATCTGTTCAGTCAATATTTATTGATAGTAGACCAGAAGTAATTTTTTCTTGGTGAAAGATGCAAGAATGAATAAGATAAAAATCTGTATCCTGAAGAAAGTTTAGCATCCAATGAAACAAATACGTAAAGAAATAGTAAAATAGCCCAGCTGGTGTGTGGTTGAGCATCGACCTATGAACCAGGAGGTCAGGGCTCAATTCCCAGTCAGGGCATTAGCCTGGGATGTTTCTATCATATTCTCCCTCTCCCTTCCTCTCTGAAATCAATAAAAAAATATATATTTTAAAAGAAATAATAAGATGCTAATACTTTCCTTATTTATTATTTTCTATTTTAAGTTCGTCTATCACAAAGCTGATGAATTTTTAAAGGGTCTAAAAGATCTTCAAATTGAGGGCAAGATGTAGCTGGTCAACCTCAGGAGGAGTCAAAGCTCACCTTTGTTGAAGTGCAAAGCTACTCCCAGAAGCTCTTAACATCCTTATAAGTAAAATCTGCTACATTAAAAAAAAAAAAAAGCCTACAAGCTTTGTTGTGAATCTTCTCAGGTCCTCGCTAAGTTATGGGAACCCTTGGGTCATGGTTACTACCTGTGTTTTCCCGGGAAACACAGGATCCCAGAGGACAAAACCAGTAAATTTGATAGATGAATTTTGACACAGGCGTGCTTAAGGTATAAGTTGATCTACAGAATTATCAATGTCAAAGTAAAGTTTGTTCAGTGACAAAAATAAGATGCAAAACTGCCGTAATAAAAACATTGTTTCTTTGCTGCAAAGGGATTGTACTGTACTTCTGTCCCTTTCCTGAAAAGAGGCAAGGAAACAAAACTTTAAGGTAGTAGCAAAAAACAATACATATCTTAAAAGCTTGATAATGGATATTTGCTGGAAGATTGTTTTCCAGGACACTGAAGAGTTTGAGGTAACTAAGTTAACTGTACTTAAAATAGTAGTACATGACATTCCTATTTTCATCATTTGGTTTTCTCTGCAAGAGAAAATTGAATGAGGTAGAAGAGTAAGAAATGTTGAAAACCTAAATAAGAATCTAAGAAAACCTGTAATAAATGCACCTATCTCAATACCAGTAGCTGCTAGCTAATTACATGAAGTCATTTTGTTTCAGGTGGCTACCTAGATAATCTGAAAAAAACAAGTTTTTTCCCCTCTTAGAGAGATACTTGTCCTATTATAAAATTAATGTATTATTATAAAACACATTTATTATTTTGTCCAAAAATGTATTTTTGCTGAGAAAATTTTGATTCCAAAATGGACAACATAATTACCCCTAGCCTTATTTTCTTTGAAATCTTTGCTATTGGTATGGCTTTGGACAAGTCAATCTCTCCAAATTTTAGTTTACTCATTTGTAAAATTAGAATAATGATAGTACCACATAATAGGATATGGAAATTAAATTTCAAAATGGAGAAAAAACACTTAAGATAGTACAATGTCTGACACAATAGTGATGTGTTAGCTAATATTATTGTTAGTAAGTCATATTCTTAAAAATTTTCCATTTGTGTAGATTATATGATGGTCTAAATAATTTAAGGCACACATATATTATGTGACATTTGGCAATGAGTTAACAAGAAATATGGTTTTAAAAATTGGGAAAGCGTGATTGCTTGACATTAAGGGAAATACTAAGGATTTTTTTCATATCTTTATGGTTTAAAAATTCTATACATGTAACTTTTAAAATGTATAAATTGTATGATATACAGGGGTGAGCAGGTTATGATTATTTCAATAGCTTTATTAACGCTCACGTACTCACAGCTAAAAACCTACTTTTGCCAACACCTGTGTGTGTGTGTGTGTGTGTAGATGTATATATGTATATATATATATATATATACATAATAACCTAAATACAGTCATATTGGGGGGCTTAGGGCTTCAACACATGAATTTGGGAGGGGACACAATTCAGACTATAGCAGATATTGCCAAATATCCTCTTGGAGAAAGGGGCAGGGAACTGCTTCTGGTTGAGGCATGAAAAAATGTGCTATGCTTAGGAGAAGTTCTTGCTGAGGAAAAAGTAAATTATGACCAAATTATAAGTGGCCTTCTATGTTACTGTAAAGAGTATGGCTTTTATTGTAAGGCTTTGAGGTGATATGTGACAAAGGATATTTAAATTTTAATATTTAAGAAAATGCCTAAAATAGACAACAGATATATCAATAGCAGGTCAATACCATGCATACTGTGTAGCCATTAAAAGATAGTAAAATGATATGCATGTAGATTATGTGGATAAATTTAAATGTTTACATAATACAAACAGGTTTTCAAGCTAGGGAAAATTAGTCATTTTTGCTTTGTGAAAGATGACTCTAATGGCAGCCTAGATTCTATAACAGTGGTTCCCCTCCAGAAAATTGTTTCATTTATAAAGCCAAGTATATTTAAAGAACTTTTTTCTGCTTTGAGAATTTGGTACTTTCTGTTTTTTGAAGTTGAGCAGTACTTTAAAATTATTATGATGAAATGACAGTGAGAGTAGATGATGGGTCTTTTGTGCCCTGACCACCCCCCCCCCCCCCCAGTATGTCATTTCTCAAAACCTTTTTGAAAACTTTCCTCAATAGTGAAATCCCAAGTCTGATGTCATTTATTCTAAAGAAAGAATTAGAAATGGCAGAGCCTGATAGTAGGGCAGACTCTCTAAGATGTTATTGTTGAAAAATATTGATAAGAATTTAGGCGAAGTCTCTTAGGGTGCTAGAGAGGAGAGATTGGGTTGCAGAAATATAGAATTAAGAATACTTGCTGGGCCATTTAGTGTGGAGAGGGAGGAGTTCACAATGACACCCAGGTTTCTGGCCTGGGTTCCTGGGTGGATAGTGGTACCACTTTGTGAGATAGGGAATAGAAAAGGAGGAGTAGGTTTTGGAGGAGGTGGAGGGAGAGATAAGCTTTGGGCATTTTAACTTTGAGATGCCTGCAGAGCATCCAGGCAAAGATATCCAGTAGTCAGAAACATGGATCTGGAGATTGTGAATTATTATGGCTTGCTTGGGTGTGGTAGAAGGCTGTGAATGAGGTATCTCAGGGAGAAGAGACAAGGGCCAGAAACAGAACACAATCCAGAAGGACATTAATGTTTTAGGTATTTTTTTTTATGTGGTTTTATGTTTGTTTGTTTGTTTTGTTTTATTGTGGAGGTTTTTTCCTATAAGAAGCAAGGGTGGGAAATTCTGTTAAGAAAATTACAAAGTAGCCAAAACCGGTTTGGCTCAGTGGATAGAGCGTCAGCCTGCGGACTGAAAGGTCCCAGGTTCGATTCCGGTCAAGGGCATGTACCTGGGTTGCGGGCATATCCCCAGTAGGAGATGTGCAGGAGGCAGCTGATCGATGCTGATCGATGTTTCTCTCTCATCGATGTTTCTAACTCTCTATCTCTCTCCCTTCCTCTCTGTGAAAAATATATTAAAAATAAAAATAAAAATATGTTGTCTTTCGTTTCAGAGGAATTGATTTCAATTTGTTAAAAAAAAAAAAAAAAGAAAAGAAAATTACAAAGTAATGATAAACCAAGAAGGAGAAAATGCTTTAGAGAATAAGCACATGGAAGTGAGAGAAAATGTTTTACAAAACAAAAGTTGGTTCAGCTATATCAGCTGTTGAAGAAAGCAAATAGTATGAAGTCTCAAACTAGACCATTGATTTTATTTATTTTTTTCTTCTTTCTTTATGGATTAAGGTATTACATATGTGTCCTGATCCCCCCATTGCTCCACCCCCACCCCACTCATACCCTCACCGCCCTGTTGTCTGTGTCCATTGGTTAGGCTTATATTCCTGCGTACAAGTCCTTTGGTTGATCTCTCCCTTACCCCTACCCTCACCTACCTTCCCTCTGAGGTTTGACGGTCTGATTGATGCTTCTCTTTCTCTGGATCTGATTTTGTTCGTCAGTTTATGTTGTCCATTATATTCCACAAATGAGTGAGATCATGTGATATTTATCTTTCTCTGACTGGCTTGTTTTGCTTAGCATAATTCTCTCCAGTTCCATCCATGCTGTTGCAAATGGTAAGAATTCCTTCTTTTTTACTGCAGCATAGTATTCCATTGTGTAGATGTACCACAGTTTTCTAATCCACTCATCTGCTGATGGGCACTTAGGCTGTTTCTAAATCTTAGCTATGGTGAATTGTGCTGCTATGAACATAGGGGTGCATATATCCTTTCCGATTGGTGTTTATAGTTTCTTGGGATATATTCCTAGAAGTGGGAACACAGGGTCAAATGGGAGTTCCATTTTTAGTTTTTTGAGGAAACTCCATACTGTTGTCCACAGTGGCTGCACCAGTCTGCATTCCCACCAGCAGTGAAGGATGGTTCCTTTTTCTCCACATCCTCTCCAGCACTTGTCATTTGTTGATATTTTTTTAAAATATATTTTATTGATTTTTTACAGAGAAGAAGGGAGAGGGATAGAGAGTTAGAAACATCGATGAGAGAGATCGATCAGCTGCCTCCTGCACGCCCCCCACTGGGGATGTGCCCGCAACCAGGGTACATGCCCTTGACCAGAATCGAACTCTGGACCCTTGAGTCCACAGGCCGACGCTCTATCCACTGAGCCAAACCGGTTCGGCCATTTGTTGATTTTTTGATGATAGCCATTCTGACAGGTGTGAGATGGTACTACATTGTTGTTTTGATTTGCATCTCTCAGATGATTAGTGACTTTGAGCATGTTTTCATATGTCTCTTGGCCTTCCTTATGTCATCTTCTGAAAAGTATCTATATAGGTCCATTGTTTATCTTCCTTTTGTTAAGTTGTATGAGTTAGACCATTGATTTTAACTATTAGGATCCCTGTGGTGACTTTAGGGAGAACAGTTTTGTTAGAGAGCGCCAAAAAAAGATTCTCATAAGAAATTGGGTTGCACTATTCTGGATATCAGCTGGAGGATCAAAGGATCCTTTATCTCAAACCCATTTCATCAGTGACTCTTGAAAGACTCGCCCTTTTTGTTCTTCTGGAGAGCACCTTTCTTGAAATTAAATGTGATGCTGTCCTGTGATTCTTTCCCTGTTTTAGTTCTGTCCAAAGATATCCTAAGTTACCTTTCATCTTACAATATTTTATTATTTTCTTCTGTAACTGGATAATAGTTAGGTAGTAATAGAACTTCTTTTTCTTCCCCATAATCTCTATGTAGCATCCATGTATTTAGGCTAGATTTTAAGAAAGACATATATAGTTCCAAGTAATATGCCTGTGGCCAAGTTGTCAGGAGTATCATTACCCACATGGAGATTTCAAGTGTTTATTGGCCAGAGCTACATAGAAATCAATATCAAGGGTTCACAAAAGAAAGATGAGCTACATACTACAAGACAAATGACAGTACTATTCATAATCTCTCTCTTCCCATCTCTTCTGATAATGGTCCCCACTACTGATTAATGAGAGTTATGTTGGTGTTGAAGACAGAGTTGAACTAGGAATATATTGTGAGTGAGGTTGTATATGGAAAAGGGTTAAAGAGACGTTCTCAAACTTTTGGTCTCAGGACCCTTTTACACTTGGAAAATTATAGAGGAGTCCACAGATGTTTTTGTTTATATGGTGCCATAGACTGAATATTCATGTCTCCCCAAAATTCATATGTTGAAATCTAATCCCCAATGAGATGGAGGGAGGGGGCCATTAGTAAGTGACATAATGAGGGCAGAGGTCTCATGAATGAGATTAGTACTCATATAAAAGAAACCCCAGAGGGCTTCCTTGGTCCCTTGCACCATGTGAGAACAGTGAGAAGACAGATGTATATGAATAGGAAGCTGGACTTCACCAGACACTGAATCAGATAACTTGATAATGTCCCACAGTCACTGAGGCTTGTTTTTTTCTCCCTTGGCTTCAGTTTAATGGGTTCCATTGATTTGCCTTCAACTTCACTTATTTTGTAACTAGAGGCCTGGTGCACAAAAATTTGTGCACTTGGTGCGGGAGGAGGGGTCCCTCAGCCTGGTCTATGCCCTCTAGCAGTCTGGGATCCCTCAGGGGATGACCACCTGCTGGCTTAGGCACGCTCCCCGGGGGATTGGGCCTAAGATGGCAATCAGACATCCCTCTGGCAGCCCTGCAGCCCTCGGGGGATGTCCACTTGCCAGTGGGGAGCAGGCCTGAACTGCAGTTGGACATCCTTAGCACTGCTGAGGAGGCAGGAGAGGCTCCCACTACCACCGCTGTACTGGGAGCCATCAGCCTGGCTTGTGGCTGAGCAGAGCTCCTCCCATGTGAGAGCGCCCTGACCACCAGAGGGCAGCTCCTGCATTGAGCGTCTGCCCCCTGATGGTCAGTGTGTGTCATTGTGACCAGTCATTCCCAGTCCTTCTACTGTTAGGGTCAGTTTGCATATTACCCTTTCACTATATAGGATAGAGGCCTGGTGCAAGGGTGGGGGCTGGCTGGTTTGCCCTGAAGGGTGTCCCGGATCAGGGTGGGGGTCCCGCTTGGGTGCCTGGCTAGCCTGGATGAGGGGATGATGGCTGTTTGCAGCTGGTCACACCCCTTTCAGGGTGGAGGTCCCCACTGGGGTGCCTGGCCAGTCTGGGTGAGGGGCTGAGGGCTGTTTTCAGGCTGGCAACCTCTCCTTTTTTTCTTTCTTTCTTTCTTTCTTTTTTTTAATTCTGGGATGTATTTACCTTCTATAGCTGTCACTGGAGCTGAGAGCCAGCTCCAGCTCTGAGGCCCGGCTCCAGCTCTGAGGCTGCGGCTGGCTGAAAGCAGGTATCTGGGTTTGTTTAGCTTCAATAATTGAAACATTGTTGCCATCACTGCCACTCTAAGCTCTGAGGCCAAAGCTGGCCAAAAGCAGGTATCTGGAGCTTGTTTAGCTTCTATAATTGCAAAATTGTTTCTTAGAGTGCAGCTGAGAGGCCGGCAGCGGCAGGCGGGGAGCGTTGGCTTCCTCCATCACTGGAGCAAGCAAGCCTCCTGTTTGCTTCAGCTGCCTGGCTGCCGGCCGCCATCTTGGTTGGCAGTTAATTTGCGTATCGCCCTGATTAGCCAATGGGAAGGGTAACGAAGTTACGGTTAATTACCATGTTTGTCTATTATTAGATAGGATGTTTAATTCCTGTTAAACCAGCCAGTTAATTTTTCATTTCAAATCCTTTTTTTTCAGTTCTAGAATTTTCATTTGTTTCTTTTTTTTTTAATTAAATCTTTATTGTTCAGATTATTACAGTTGTTCCTCTTTTTTCCCCCCATAGCTCCCCTCCACCTGGTTCCCACCCCACCCTCTGCCCTGACCACCCCCCCCCCCCCACTGTCCTCATCCATAGGTGTACGATTTTTGTTCAGGCTCTTCCCGCATTCTTCCCCCCCCCCCCCCCCGAGAATAGTCAGTCCACTGACCCAAGGACGAAACCCGAGAGGGGAAAGGCCAGGAGGCATGAATTGCCAGCACTTCAGCCACTTGAAAACAGCTCCACTTGGAATGTGAGGCGGTTGTATGTTCAGCTGAGAAGTGAGGGGGCTGAACTCCACTGTCGCTGGGCTCCTGTCAGTCCGAGGCCCAAGCGTCCACCACAACAAGGAAAGAACAGAGCGAGGGGCCCAGAGGAAGAGAGGACAATTGAAGGAAACCGTGTCTAGACTTCCCCCAGCCCTCTCCTTCTTTCTGCTGCCTACAAGAGCCCCAGGCCCGGCCACAGTTCTGTCTCCACCTTTTAGTCCCCTATTCTCCAACCACAGAGGAAAGAAATAAGGACGGAGTCTGTGCTGCCTTCAGAAAGTATCTATATACCTGATCGGCCAGTTGCCTTCCACAGAGGGAGGCCAGACCGGCATAGGCCCGCTCCCCACAGGGACATCAGTAGTACATCCTGTGAGAGCTTCCAGACTGTTAGAGGGGGCAGGTTGGGCTGAGGGATGTCCCCGAGTGCACAAATTTTTGTGCACCAGGCCTCTAGTTTATACTAATAAAAGAGTAATATGCTAATTAGACTTGGAGATCTTTTGGAGACCTTCTGGATGTCCTTCTGGACAAAGCCTGGGGCTTGGCCAGTCTGCAAACTGCCCCCAAACGGCCTTCCGACCCTCACCCAGGCTGGCTATTGCCCCCAGCGGGGACCCTCACCCCAATGGGGGTGTGGCCAGCTGCAAACAGCCCTCAGCCCCTAGCCCAGGCCAGCCATGCCCTGCTGGGACCGTCACCCTGAAGGGGGCAAGGCCAGCCTGCAAAAGGCCCTCAGCCCTTCACCCAGGCTGGCCCCACCCCTCAGCAGGGATCCTCACCCCAATGTGGGTATGATCAGCCTGCAAACTGCCCCAGCCCCTCACCCAGGCCCACCCCACCCCCTAAGGGGACCCCACCCCTGATCTGGGACCCCCTTCAGGACAGACCAGCCAGCCTCCACCAGTGCACCAGGCCTCTATCTATACTAATAAAAGAGTAATATGCTAATTATACCAGGAGACTTTCCAGAGATCTTCTGGACATCCTTCCAGACAAAGCCATGGTGGCAGGGCTGAGGCAGAGGCAGTTAGGAGCGATCAGGCCAGCAGGGGAGGGCAGTTGGGGGTGAGAAGGGGAGGGCAGTTGGGGACAAGCAGGCTGGCAGGGGGTGCAGTTGGGGGTGAGCAGGCCAGCGGGGGGTGGGGGGCAGTTGGGGGCAATTAGGCTGACGGGGGGGGGGGCAATTGGGTGCAATCAGCCTGTCAGGGGCAGGCAGTTAGGGGTGCTCAGGCCAGAAGGGGGTGGCAGTTGAGGTTGATCAGGCCGGCAGGCAGAGTGGTTAGGAGTGGTCAGGCAGGCAGGCAGGTGAGTGGTTAGGAGCCAGCATTCCCAGATTGTGAGAGGGATCCCAGATTGGAGAAGGGTGCAGGCCAGGCTGAGGGACACCCCCCCCCCATGCACAAATTTCATACACCGGGCCACTAGTAATAAAATTAAAATAAAACTAGAATTACTTCCAAAAAAGGGGGGTACATCCTGATTGGTCTAAGCTAATATACATCAATTCCAATCCCTCTTCTCAGTGGTTTGTATAGATATAGATATGTTGCAATCTTGGTCAATGAGACATAAAGAAAAACCATTGAGAACTTCTGGAAAAGGTTTACTAAATTTTTTTTTAAAGACAAAATAAAATGAAGCACTTTTTCTTCTTTTAGATGTTTTAAAGTCTGAGCATGATCACTAGGGATGAAATCTGAAGAACACAGAAGGATGGAAAGATGCTGGCCCCTTGATTCAGCTACTGAATTGGAAAACCCTAGGCTAGTCTCTCTTTCTTCAAACATGTAAGATATCACACCTCTGCATTGTTAAAACAGATTTATGACACATAAATAAAGTCAGTTTAATTGATAAAAATTCCAGAATGTAGAGGACATGGTGCTCAGTCAGCTCTCTTGATCTAGATAGAAATTGCAAGTTTACATTCCCAGTGATTGAGGATGACTGAGATAAAAGACATGAATAGAATCAACTGGTCTTGAGGTTCTGAATGGAACACTGGTATAAAGTTATTTTGGGGTTAGAACCAATAGATCTCTAAAATTCTTTGGGTCTGAACTGGCAGCAGCTCGTAAGACAGAAAATAGGTACTTTTTAAGGCACTCATATTTTTGAGGGCCTGGTCTCTAGAAGTTGACATCCTTAGGTTGGTATGGGTGGAAGCTAGAGCTGGGTGAGGCTCTTGGATACTCCTTTTAAAAAAAATTATGATAATTTATGTGCCATAAAGTTTATCATTTTAAAGTGTATAATTCTATGAGTTTTAGTAATTACAAGTCTACAATCACCACCACTATCTAATTAGAGAACATTTTCCATCCATCAATTAATAGACATTTGGGTTATGTCTACTTTTTGGCTGTGATGAATAGTTCTATGAACTTTTCTGTATGTTTTGGTATGAATATGTTTTTATTTCTCTTGGGCATATATCTACAAATATAAAAGCTGGTCATATGACAATTTTATTTTTAACCTTTTTATTTTTAACCACTGTTTTTTAAAAATTAAATTTATCAGGGTGACATTGGTTAATAAAGTTATATAAGTTTCAGGTATACAGTTCTATAATACATCATCTGTATGATATATTGTACTGTGTGTTTGCCACCCCAAGTCAAGTCTCCTTTCATTGCCATTTATCCCCCTTCTACACTCTTCTACCTTTCCCCACTCCCCATTTCCTCTGCCATTCACCATACTCTTGTTTGTCAATGAGTCTTTCTCTTTTTCTTTGCTTTTGTTTTTATAATTTAAAAAAAAATTTCAGTTACAGTTGACATTCCATATCATATTAGTTTCAGCTATACAGCATAGTGGATAAACATTTACATAACTTATGAAGTGATACCTCTAGTAAATGTAGTACCTCCCTGACACCATACATAGTTATTACAATGTTATTTAATATATTTTTATGTTGTAATTTACATCCCTATGACTATTTTGTAACTGCCAATTTGTACTACTTAATCATTTCACCTTTTTATCCAGCCCTCCCACCCTCTCCCTTCTGGCAACAATCAGTTTGCTCTCTGTATCTATGAGTCTGTTTCTGTTTTGTTTGTTTATTTTGTTTTTAAGATTCCACATATAAGTGAAATCATGTGGTATTTGTCTTTCTCTATCAGACATATTTCACTTAGCATAATACCCCTTAGGTCAGCGGTTCTCAACCTGTGGGTCGCGACCCCTTTGGCAGTCAAACGACCTTTACACAGGGGTCGCCTAAGACCATCCTGCATATCAGATATTTACATTACAATTCATATCAGTAGCAACATTACAGTTATGAGTAGCAACAAAAATAATTTTATGGTTGGGTCACAACATGAGGAACTGTATTTAAAGGGCCAGAAGGTTGAGAACCACTGCCTTAGGTCCATCCATGTTGTTGCAGATGGTAATATTTCATTCTTTTTTAAGGCCAAGTAATAGTCCATTATATATATGTATCACATCATCTTTAATCATTTATCAGTGCATACTTACATTGCTTCTATATCTTGGCTATTGTCAACAATGCTGCAATGAACATAGTAATGCATATATATCTTTTTAAATTTATGTTTTACTACCAGACTGTTTTCAGTAGTAGTTGCACCATTTTACATTTCTACCAGCAGTGCATGAGGTTTGTTCATATCCTTGTCAACACTTGTTATTGTCTGTTTTATTTTTATTATAGCCATCCTAGTGGGTGTGAAGTGGTATCTCATTGTGGTTTTGATTGGCATTTACCTAATGACTAGTGATGTTGACATCTTTTCATGTGTTATTGTCCATTTGCATATATTCTTTTTTTTTTAATATATTTTATTGATTTTTTACAGAGAGGAAGGGAGAGAGATAGAGAGTTAGAAACATCGATGAGAGAGAAACATCGATCAGCCGCCTCCTGCACATCTCCCACTGGGTTTATGCCCGCAACCCAGGTACATGCCCCTGACTGGAATCGAACCTGGGACCCCTCAGTCTGCAGGCCGACGCTCTATCCACTGAGCCAAACCGGTTTCAGCAATTTGCATATATTCTTAAATGTCCAAATCCTTTGCCCATTTTGAGTTATTTGTCTTTTTATTCTTGAGCTTACGAATTCTTTATATATTCTGAATACTAGACCCTTTGGTGACCAGAACTATGGGCTGAGGTGTTTTCCCGGTGTTGTGTTTTGTGACATCGAAGAATGATCTATGTGAACCAGGAGATTTAAGTAAAAGTGTGGAAAATTTATTATAAGCAGATTCAGACTCCCTGCAAGGGGAGGAAGACCCAAGAGTGGGCTGCCCGTTAAAGCCTTGTATATATTTGCTACAAGTCTGCTTCTATGTCTATCTGTGTTGTCACCTGATTAATTCCCTCAATTGTTTTTGCCCAGCAACAGACCTGAACTTTCCCTGTTTCTATATGCTCTTTCTCTGTTCCTGTGCTGAACTTTTTCTGTTTCTATGCGTTCGTCTGTCTTGTTGCTACAGGCTCTCCCTTGTTTTCCCATGCCTCCCGCTTTGAGTCCAGAAACATTTTATTATTTCTGCTTGGTTGGTTCCTGTGGTTAGGCTGGTTCAAACTGCCATGTCTACCCCTGCCTATGTTCTACCTGCCTTTGTTTTCAGCTGGAGCCCTGCCCTATCTGCCTGGGTTTCAAGTTAGGCCTCTTATCTTTTTACATATTTGAGTTGCAAAATTTTTTTCCATTCTGTGATCCATTGGCAGTTAATTTTTTGTATATGGTATGATATCAGGGTTCATTTTTATTCTTTCACATGTAAATATCCAGTTCCATTATCATGAATTCAAAAGACTATTCTTTCTTCCATTGAACTGTCTTGGAACTCTTGTCAAAAATTAGTTTACCATAAATTTGAGGGTTTATTTCTAGACTCAATTGTAAGCCATTGATTTCTATATTTATCCTCATTGTCAGTACCACATTTGATTAATGTAGCTTTTATATTAAGTTTTGAAATTAGGAAATTGTTCTTTTTTCAAGATTGTTTTGGATATTCTGGATCCTTGAATTTCCATGTGAACTTTAGAAATTTTAACATGTTAATTTCTGCAAAAACAACCATTGGAATTTTTTTTTAAAATATTTTATTGATTTTTTACAGAGAGGAAGGGAGAGAGATAGAGAGTTAGAAACATCGATGAAAGAGAAACATCGATCAGCCGCCTTCTGCACATCTCCTACTGGGGATGTGCCCGCAACCCAGGTACATGCCCTTGACCGGAATCGAACCTAGGACCTTTCAGTCCGCAGGCCGACGCTCTATCCACTGAGCCAAACTGGTTTCAGCCAACCATTGGAATTTTGACAGAGATTTCATTGAATCTGTAGGTGAACTGGGGAGTATTGCCATTTTAACAATATTAAGTCTTTAAATACATAAAATCTTTCTGTTACTTCTCACCTGAGAATACTTTTTTTCCATTGTTTTTTAAAGAGTAGAAGAGAAGGAGGGTGAGAGAGAGAAACATCAATGTGAGAGAGACACATCGATTGGTTGTCTCCCACCTGTGCCCTGCTAGGGGATAGGGATTGATCCTGCAATCCTGATACCGGGAATTGAATCTGTGACCCTTTGGTGCATGGGTGGATGCTCTAACCATTGAGCCAGTGACCAGGGCAATATAGGATATCTTTTTAAAAAAAAAAACATGCATATTTTTATTGATTTCAAAGAGGAAGTGAGAGGGGAAAAGAGATACAAGCGTCAATGATAAGAGAGAATCACTGATAGGCTGCCTCCTACACACCTCCTACTGAGAATCAAGCCCACAACCTTGGGCATGTTCCCTTGACCAGAATTGAACCTGGGACCCTTCAGTCCTCAGACCAATGCTCTATCCACTGAGCCAAACCAACTAGGGCAAAGTAGCATAAATTTTAAGTGGTGTGCCTGCACTCTGTTTTTCCCATGATCCCTATTATTTGTAGTGCACAATTTTGCAGGACATGAAGTTTTTCGCAAATGTATATAGGGAGAGAGATAGAGAGTTAGAAACATCGATGAGAGAGAAACATCGATCAGCCGCCTTCTGCACATCTCCTACTGGGGATGTGCCCGCAACCCAGGTACATGCCCTTGACCGGAATCGAACCTGGGACCCTTCAGTCCGCAGGCCGACGCTCTATCCACTGAGCCAAACTCAGTGTGGGGGAGGACAGATTTTTCTGCTGTGGGGGAGGACAGATATTGATGCTGCTGGTCCAATGGTCACTACTCTCAGGTTCTTTTGGCTAGTCTAATAATTAAATAGATATGAGTACATCAGCAAAAGAAAATAAATTTAATACATACATATGTATGGGAAACCCACATATGTGAGAGAGTCAGAGACCCCCACATGCATGAGAGTTTCTGAGATAGAAAGGGAGATTGAGGTATATAAGACTCCCTGAGCTAGGGATGAGGGAGGTACTTTGGGGGCTTCAAATGGTCATTGCAAGATGATAAGAAGAGCAGGTGTTCAGGAAATAGAAGTTTGTCCTGCCCTACAGATAGGTCAAAAGAGGTTACTTCTAATAATCACTTATTATGGGCAAGGCCTCTAATTTAAATTTTTCTAGGTAGTTAAGGGAGAGGCAGAAGTTTCTCTTCAGCCTGAGGCAAAAGTTATCTTTAGCTCAAAACAATCTACATACCACAGAGGCACATCTTGAGGTGACTCCCCATAACTCAAAGTAGAATGTTTAGCAACAGTGGCAGGACAATGAGATAGAGATGTTTATATAAACAGGAACTTTTGGTGTCATTCAAATCTCATTTTAAACAAATTCTCCTACTTCTCTTTTAGGAAGGGCTAATCAAGTCTGAGCCTCAGAAAATTTTCTTTATTAATAGTAATATTAATAAGTTAATATAGTTATTAATATCGTTAGCTTTTACCTAATGATGCTCAGTCCTCTAGGTGTCCCAGTCCTTTGATACTGTTGCTGCTGCCCAGTCCTCCAGTACGTGCTCTTCTTGTTCATTGCAAACCCATGAGGCCACTTAGCTTTGGTTTAGCCAGCCCCAGACTTCCCATTTAGTCACAATCCTGCGGTTTCACAAGCTGTTGGTAAATTGTGTCCTCATAGTCAGTGCTTCCTAAACTTAACATTTATAAGAATCACATGGAGGGCTTGTTCAATCACAGGTTCCTGGATGCCATCTCAGGAGCTTCTGACACAATATGATATGTTTGGGTTAAGTGAGAATTGGCATTTGTAACAAGCTCTCAGGTGATATTGATGCTGCTGGTCCAATGGTCACATTTTGAGTGGCACTACTCAAATATCCTGCCATTAGCAGTATCTATCACTCACTCTGAGGCACCAGTTTCTTCCCTATCAAAACTTTGTTTGTGGCCGTGGGGGGGTGGGGGTGGGGGAGTGGTGCACTATTGCATCAGCACAGTCATTTTCAACCAGGGGCAATTTTTATCCCCAGGAGACATTTGGCAATATCTGGAGACACTTTTTTGTTGACCTAACTGGGTAAGAAGGCATGCTACTGGCATCTGGTAGGTAGAGGCCAGAGATGCTGCTCAACATCCTACAATGCACAAGGCAACTCCTTACCACAAAGAATTATCTGGCCCAAATGTCAGTAGTGCCAAGGTTGAGAAACTTGGCATCAACATGATATTGCTTTTTTTGCCATTAGCATGAAATCCTTCTGATTGTGTCTTTGTCAAGTAGATAGCCTATGAAGTGAAGATAGAGGTAAAGGAATGGTTGTGTTCTCTCCCCAAGCCCCGCTTTGTACAGTTCATAGAATACATAAATCTCAACTTTAAAACCAAGTGTTTGAATTATTACTTGTAGACATGATAACTTGTTTTCATATTCTTAACTTCTCCTTCTTAGGTCTGATGGCAGAATGGAAGACTTTACTAAAACTAGACCTTTGGACATTGGACCTATCTATTTCTTTGATCAGGTAATAATGTAGCTCAGTTTCATAAATTATAATTTACTTTTAAAAATATTTCACTTTGACCAGTATTTTTCTCTACCTTTTAAATAGATTTATTTCATTTTAGATGAAACCAAAAAAGAAAAAATGGGAAAAGAGAGACTGTTTCCCCTATTTGGAGCACGCTTCAGAAGAAAAACATAGGTAAAACTTTTGGAATTACTCTGCATTGCTGGCATCACTGTGTATTTTCAAAGGCTTATAAGGTGCTCAGAATCAATCCTTCCCTATTTCCTACCCTCTAAGAAACTACATCAAGAAATTACCATGTCAAAGCCGACTATGAAGTTAGTCAGAGAACTTTATTTTAGCCAGATTAGGATTAATTTAAGCATAATTGGTCAAATGGACCAGTCATCTGGTTTCTTTGCTATTCCACAACAAATCTAGCATGTTCTCTCTCTCTCTCTCTCTCTCTCTCTCTCTCTCTCTCTCTCTCTCTCTCCCTCTCTCTCCCTCCCTCCCTCCCTCCCCCTCCCTCCCTCCTTCCCTCCCTCCCCCTACCTCCTTTTCTCCCCCTCCCTCCCTTCCTCCCTCCCTTGGGGAGTTTACACTAACTGTTCCTTCTGCTTTCAGCATTGCTTACTCCCCTTTCCTTGTCTTTATTTATTTATTTTTATAAATATATTTTTATTGATTTTTTACAGAGAGGAAGGGAGAGAGATAGAGAGTTAGAAACATCGATGAGAGAGAAGCATCGACCAGTTGGGGATGTGCCCGCAACCAAGGTATATGCCCTTGACCGGAATCGAACCTGGGACCCTTCAGTCCGCAGGCCGACGCTCTATCCACTGAGCTAAACCGGTTTTGGCGTCCTTGTCTTTATTTAAATACCACCTTTGTAGTGAGACTTTCTTGATTATCCTATTTCAAATTTCTACACCATCAACACCTTAGCAATTTCTATCCCCTTTCTAACTTTTCTGTTGCACTAAATCGCTTATTAATATTGTAAATGATATCCCTACTTATTTGTCTTCTCATGAGAATATCAGGTCTACAAGGATTTTTTATCTACTTGATCCCTTCTCTATCCCCAATACCAAGAATAGTGCTTGGCACATAGGATGTGCTTAAAAGATTTGTGATTAATAGCCATAGAATTGTGTTAGGACCACAAAGATGAATGAAATAATGGAACTAGTCATTTCACAATAGTTTTACCCTCTAGTTACCACAATTTAACTTGTGGAGTGGAAATTAAAATATTCCCACCTATTTTAGAACATATATCACAGGCTAAATAAAGTTAAAAGTTGTTAATTTTACCAGTGAGTTCTTGAACAGTGGTGTTTCACCCTATAAGGGACATTTAGTAATTTCTGGAGACATTTTTGTTTGTCACAACAAGGGGGATATGGTGTTATCATCTGGTATATAGAGACCAAGGTTGCTGCTAAACATCCGACAATACACAGGACAGCACCTTCAACTGAGAATTATCTGATCCTAATGTCAGCATTTCAGATTGAAAAACTGGGCTATACATTAAATTGTGTGTGTGTGTGCGGGGGGGGGGGGGGGTTGAGCAGTTTGAACTTTTCTCAAGACCATTACAAGTTGCTGTTATTTCCAGAAGTCTGTTGTCTTTTCATTTCCAACTCTCTCTGTTTTGAAAAGCAGTTCAATATAATGTGATCATTTTGTTTTCACATTGCTTGGCTTATAATTGGTAATTAATGAGTCATATTGTCATATGAGCAATCAGTATGTCTGTTTGTCATAGAGCTTGAGGGGTTTATTGGCTTCCCAGCTTTCTCATTTAATACATTCCTCAAAGTATGTGCTAGGCATTGCTTCTGTCCACTCTGCTTGGAAACATCCCATTTCTCCCACCAGCTATCCTGCTGCTATTGCACCAAAAACAAACTCCATACTTGTTACCATGAACTGCAAGTCCTTCTGTGATTTCTTCTTTTTTTATTTTTAAGTAAATCTTTATTGTTCAGATTATTACAGTTGTTCCCCTTTTTTCCCACCATAGCTCCCCTCCACCCGGTTCCCACCCCACCCTCCGCCCTCACCCCGCCCCCACTGTCCTCATCCATAGGTGCACGATTTTTGTCGAGTCTCTTCCCGCATCCCCCACACCCCTTTCCCCCCGAAGAATAGTCAGTCCACTCCTTTCTATGTCCCTGATTCTATTATAATCACCAGTTTATTCTGTTCATCAGATTATTTATTCACTTGATTTTTAGATTCACTTGTTGATAGAAGTGTATTTGTTGTTCATAATTTGTATCTTTACCTTTTTCTTCGTCTTCCTCTTCTTAAAGGATACCTTTCAGCATTTCATTTAATACTGGTTTGGTGGTGATGAGCTCCTTTAGGTTTTCTTATTTGTGAAGCTCTTTATCTGACCTTCAATTCTACATGATAGCTTTGCTGGATAAAGTAATCTTGGTTGTAGGTTCTTGCTATTCATCACTTTGAATATTTCTTGCCACTCCCTTCTGGCCTGCAAAGTTTCTGTTGAGAAATCAGCTTACATTCCTATGGGTGATCCCTTGTAGGTAACTGACTTTTTTTTCTCTTGCTGCTTTTAAGATTCTCTCTTTGTCTTTTGCTCTTGGCATTATAATTATGATGTGTCTTGGTGTGGTCCTCTTTGGATTCCTTTTGTTTGGGGTTCTCTGTGCTTCCTGGACTTGTAAGTCTATTTCTTTCACCAGGTAGGGGAAGTTTTCTGTCATTATTTCTTCAAATAGGTTTTCAATATCTTGCTCTCTCTCATCTTCTGGCACCCCCATAATTCGGATGTTGGTATGCTTGAAGTTGTCCCAGAGGCTCCTTACACTATCTTCATATTTTTGGATTCTTTTTTGTTTTGTTTTTCCGGTTGGGTGATTTTTGCTTCTTCGTATTTCAAATCTTTGACTTGATTCTTGCGATCCTCTAGTCTGCTGTTGGAACTTTGCATAATATCCTTTATTTCAGTCAGTGTATGCTTAATTTCTAGTTGGTCCTTTTTCATAGCCTCAAGGGTCTCACTTGATTTCTTGAGGGTCTCACTAAATTTATCAGCGGTTTCTAGAAAATTCTTGAAAAACCTTAAAAGTATGGTTTTGAACTCTATATCCAGTAGTTTGCTTTCCTCCATTTCTGTCATTTGTGACCTGTTTCTTTTTCTCCGCATTTTTTATGCTTCCCTATGTTGATAGAGTGGCTTTCTGTGCTAGGTGTCCTATAGGGCCCAGTGGCTCAGCCTCTCCAATTACCTGAGGTGGACACTCTTGGTGCACCCCTTTGTGGGCTTTGTGCACAGTCTTGTTGTAGTTAAGTCTTGATTGTTGTAGGTATCACTGGGAGGAATTGACCTCCAGGCCAATTGGCAGTGAGAATCAGCTGTGTCTGCAGTGGGAGAACTTCTGAGCTGGAGACACCCTTCTGAGGCAAGACTTGCTTCAGTGGGGCTTTGGTGCTCACTGAGTCTGCCCCCCGAGTGTGTCCTTTATGGATCTGAGGAGCTGCAATCTGGATGGTCCCACTCTGACCACCAGGCACACTGGCTCCTGGATCTCTAAGGAGGTGCTAATCTAGCCTCTGCCTGAGGCTACCCAGCAGGAGCTCAGCTGTGAAGCAATGCGAGTTGCCTTGGGGCCTTGGACCAGCTGCAGTTTGTTAGGTAATTTTCAGATTGCAAAGGGCTAGGCCTTTCATATGCAAAAGCCAGTGCACAGCTTGGGTGGGGCGGGGGTCCCAGGGGATCAGCAGGGCGAAGCAAGCAGCTATGGCTGCCCTCAGAGGCCCCGCTTCTCAGTGTCCTGACAATTGCTGCAAGCACCTCCTAGAGGAAGCTGCCCTCGAGTTCCAACTGATGCCAGACAGTCCAGTTTCTCCCGTATGAGTCTGGGTCCCCAGAGACTCGCCCGGAAATGGAGCTCAGAGCTTGAGACTCCCTACTGATTGAAAAAGACATCCGTGTCCTCAGATGCCAGCCCTCTCCACGTGCGCCTCCATACCTCTGTACTTTACTTCCGCACCACACCTCCTCTGAGTCTCGATATGCTTTTCTCTTTCCTTCTAGTTGTAGAATTTCCACTCAGTCAGCCTTCCTGTGGTTCTGGATGATGTCCGTTCCATCTTTTAGTTGTATTCTTGAAGTGGTTGTGCTAAGCAGCAATCTCCGGTGTTTACCTAAGCCGCCATCTTGGTTTTTCCTCTGTGATTTCTTCTTATGTCTGTCCTCCGACCATGCATACCACTCCATGTCAGTCACTGCTCCCCAGCCATTATGGCCTATCTATTGCTTTCACAACCATGCCCATTCCTGCATTAGGTTATTTGCATTTGCTGGACACTCTCCTTTGAATGTTTTTCTGCCATATTATTTTATGGTTGGCTCTTCCTCGTCATCATTTGAGTCTCAACCCAGATGTCTCTTCAGAAAGACCATCTCTGATCTCCCAATCCAAAGAAACTAAGCCTCTCCTCCCCCCACCCTACCCCCATCCATTACTCTATTAAATTGCCCAGTTTTATTTTCACCAATACAATTATTGCTATCTATAAATTTCTTTTCTTTGTCTTCTCTCTCTCCTTCTTTTCTCCCTCCCGGCATTCTTTCTCCAACTAGAATGTAAGATTCATGAGGGCAGAGGTTTGTCCTCTTCACCATGTCTCCCCAGCACCTAGAATTGTGCCTGATGAATATTTATTAAATGAAATAATTATTTCTTCTCATGTGCTGTGTGCCTAGAGAAGTAGAGCTACTTTAAGACTGAGCCAGGTGCCAAGACCTTCATTGTTGATTATCTCTCGTTAAGATAATTTTAAGTCTGGCCCTAGCTGGTTTGGCTCAGTGGATAGAGCGTCAGCCTGCAGACCAGATGGTCCTGGATTTGCTTCCCCTCAAGGGCATGTACCTCGGTTTTAGGCTCCTTCCCAACCTGGGTTCTGGTCAGGGCGAGTGCAGGAGGCAACCAATCGATGTATTTCTCTCACATCCATATTTCTGTCTTTCCCTTTTCCACTCTCCCTAAAAATCAATGAAAAAATATCCTCGTTTGAGGATTAAAAATAAAAAGATTGTTAAGTTTAGTTTTGAACTGGACAGTCCATTATTTGAGCTTTTGCCTGAAAAATAAACCAGATAGACAGTTGGCTGCGCGGCTGGACTGCTGACTTCTCAGCGGTCTGAGGAG